AATGGTTAAAACAGGAGGATAATACGCCTTGGCTTGCGGAAAATAATTTGTTTACAGGGTAAGGGGAAAGGCAGGTGCACCATGGGGAGGCAGCAGTCAGATGAAGGGGAACATCTGGAAGCCGTGCAAATCTGGCTTGGAGACTGGGTATAGAAATAACTTTTGCTGGTCTTTTAAGAGTTTTAATGCGCTTAGAGGTATACCTCTATACCCATACCTCAGCTTGCCTGCCCCTCATTGAACAAGATGCTTTTGTTATCACATGAGCTGTGATTCTTGAGATGATCAGGGAAAAGGCACAGTAGGAGCAAGACAAGTGAGAGATAAGACAGTTACTGACGTATTGTTTGTACCTCTTTTGCTGTGGAATTCAGCTTCCAGTATCAACCCAAACCTACCCCCTGATCTTTTCGTGCTTTTTTTTTTCTCTTTAATTTAAAACCCACCCAGTCACTCAACCCCACTTTTAAAATCTTGGACATGGATGAATCACTTGCCTCTTTATTTGGGCCATGCCATAAATGTTCTGTTTCACAGTAGGCAATTGGCCATAAAAGATGAACTGTTATAAGACAGACAGCCGTGGGCTGTGTTTCAGGCAGTCCTCAAGCTACTTAGAGCTGTTTAACACACCGTAGCATGAACTATGAATTGACATGTTTGTTCTGCCACTTAACCACCAGCAACCCCCCCCACCACCCCCCCCCCTCCCCCGAGAGCTTTCGGCCCCTCCAAACCCAATAGCTTAGAAAACCAGACAACGGTCAATGCTCCTATGTTCAACAGAAACGATTCCTGACACAGGGGATCATTTTCTCTTTTTACAAGATATTTATCTCCCTTTTCCTGCCCTCCTCTAGTCTCCATCTACACAATCTAAAAACTGTAGCATAATTTTTCCCAAATGTCATAGGAAGGCACGCAGTCTTTGTGTGCCTGCTCTTCTCCCCCTTCCGCTGAGGGCCCTGGATCTTCTAAAAATGAGATAAATGCCTTGAACGATAGCAATTAATCCCAGAGCGAATGGTTTACTTAAGGACACTGCCTGCTTCGTGGCTAAGTAGTTTTTGCTTTTTGTCTTTTCATTGTAGTGAATTCAAAGTTTCACGAAATTTCATGGGCAGATTCCTTCCTGCTGGCCTACACTTATGGTTACTGTGTTACTGCCTGCTTTCCTGCCTGTCTGCCTGCCTTCCTGCCTTCCTTCCTTCCTTCCTTCCTTCCCTCCTTCTATGTCTCCTCATGCATCTGGAGGAAGAAAGAACTGCAGCCTCACAGCTAGCTGCGTGCAGGTCCCTCCCTCCTCTACCTCCTGCCTTTGTGCTTCACAACCTTTGTTTTCCCTTCGCAGAGGAGAGGAGGGGTAGAAGAGAAGCTGACGGCATAGTTCAACTATGTTGGATTTTGCAGTTAACTAATACAACATGTTCAAAGCTTTGACGTTGTATAAGCAGATTTATCCAGAGGAAAATAGATGTTAGGAAAAAACAATTATGAAAGATAAAGGAGTCACTTGAAAGTGATCCAGCCATGCTGTATTTAAGCAAAGGAGAATCACTCCTGATCTGGAGAAAGTTAGGAGAGTGTAGCACTGCCTTGCGGGAGGCAGATGTAGAACCACATATGCTAATATCTGCTCTTAACTGAGCACTGACCTGAGCTGCAGAAATCATATGTGGATCAGAATCACCACTAAGATAGATTGTTTTAAGAGCCACAGGTTTGATGTAAGACTGCCTCTGATGATAAAAATCATATTTAAACTTTAGCTGCAAACTCAGAAATTCTGTCAGATATATCTGGGGTTATGCTTTACTGACCACACACAAATTCTGCAGAAGTTCATCAGAAGGCTCCCAGAGGTTCACCAGCCTCTTCGTCGGAGCTGGCTGAATGAGCCTTGGAGGACAGGAAGCTGTTACACGAGTTAATCTTTGAACATTGTGGTTCAGCCAAATCACTTCACCAAGTGAAGTGGAAGCCCGGAAGCTGCACAGCTTGGTTACATAAGCGGTAAAGATGCCATCTCTGCCCTGGGGATCTTACCGTCTAGGCTGACACTCTAGGCCCCCTCCGTTGTCTGCATTTAAGAGCACTTACTCATGTAGAAATATGAATGACAACATTAATTTACCACCCAGGGGCTGTGGAGACCAATCTGATAATGTTGTGGGGGGTGGCACTCCATATTAAAGAAAGCATAATGCCAGATAAGTTAACTGCATCAAAACATAGCACAGGCTCTGTACTTACTGGAGCTCTAGAGAGATGAGGGGGCTCCTTAGGGACAGTTAATAGTAGTGGGGCTAGAATGAGAGCTGATCCGCCTGTCAAATTTTGCCAGTGTCTATGAAATGCTAAGGGGAATTAAAGAAGTTGCAAAGAAAGAGAGTATAACGATAACGGGGAATATTGTGTGCCCCCATGTTTACTGGATAAATACTTTATGAACATGTCATGAGGACCTTACGTCGTCAGACACCATGAATGACCATTTCTCAGTGCAGTGGCATTTGTGTTTAGCTGTGGGCCTTGCTCAAACCAGACCCAGCCCTTACGCAGCGTAAGGTGGAGGGACTCACTCAAATAAGAGTATCAGAAGAAGAGGATTTAGAACAAATTGATGAAGTGAGGAATAATGACTCACTCAGAGCAAACGACCAGAAGTTTGAAAAACCTCGCTGGGAGTACTAAGCTGAGGGGTACCCTATTGCTTAGATTAGCCCCTGAAAATGGCAAATGTGAAACCAGTCTATAAGAAAGGTTCTAGGTAAGTTTTTGTAAACAATAGTTGCAAGTTCCATAAAAATAAATGGAAATTAATATGCATAAGAGTGAATAAAATATAATCAGCCATATGGTTTGTGCAGAGAGAAAACATGTCCGACATATCAAATAGAGTTCTTTAAAGAAGTCAAAAGTCACATGGAGGAGGGTAATCAGCAGACCGAAAATACTTGCCTTTTCAAAAGAGCATTTGCAAAGGCTAACTTAATAAAAATGATCTCTCTTGGGGCAATAAGGGAAAATCCTCTCATGGATTAATAGCAAGTTAAAGGAAGCAGGGAAAAAGAATAGGATCAAATAGTCTACTTTCACAATAGAGGGAGGTTACCCACAGGATGCTCTGAGAATCCTTCTGGAACCAAGAGTGTTCAGCATATTCAGAAATGATCTTTCGGAAATGATCTTTCATGAACAATGAGGTGATAAAATCTAGATAAGACAGTATCGATCTGGATAATCAAGTCAAAAACTGAATGGAAAAAGGTTGCAAAATAGCTACAAATGACTAGCTACAAAATAACATAGCGTATTAAATATTGCAAAAATAATATATCAGGAAAAAGCAGTCCTGACTAGACAGACCTGATGGTGGGCTTTAAATGGATTATGAGCACTGCAAAAGGTCAGGTATCAGTTACCTGAAAACAATAGAGAAAGTCAAAAAAGACAACAGAATATTATGAATTATTATGAAAGGAATAGAAACCAAAATCAAAATTGTCATTTTTCCACTGTCTAAATCCACAGGGATCCCCTGATTGAATACTGCATACAGCTGAGACACCCATATCTCGAAACCAAGAGAACAGAAAAGATTCAGAGAAGTGTACTTAGCAGTAAGGTGAAGAGGAGAAACTAAAAAGACGAGGACTCTTCAGCTGGGAAAAGAGATAGATAAAGGGAGATGTGATAAAAATCTATAAAACCGTGAAAGGCATAGAGAAAAAGAAAAGAGAACAGTTTGTTCACTGTTTCTCCCTGTAGAAGAACTAGCATGCATCCAGTGAAATTATGAGACAGAAAGCTTAAAATAAACAAATAAACCATTTTCTACATAATACACAATTCAGCTCTGGAACTCACTATCACACGATGTTCTAGAGGCTGAAAGAATTAGTGGATTCCAAATGGATAACAAAAATTTGAAGGAGAATAGATCCATCTGCTACTATTAAACAGTAGTAGTCCTGATGTGATAGCTGGCTTAGGAAACACCTGTACTGCTGTTTGCAAGGTGCTGAAAAGAGTTTTATCAGAGACAGATCACTCTTACCTGCCTCTATATTCCTGCTTGCTTATGGACATCACTAGATAGTGTGATCGTAAAAGGGCTTTTGGTCTGAGCCTGCACGGTTGCTCCTGTGCTACTAAAAATTAGATGCATTTTACATGTAGGATAAGAAGGTCACTCCAAGTAGAAAATGATAAGGTCTGATTCTCTTTTATAGAAGATTCTTTGCACCTCTCTGGCTATGAATTTTTCAGCTTCTAGTTTTGCAAATAAAGCACATCTGTAGAGCCCTGTAGGTGTGGAGCTCCTATGGATCACCCTGTAGTGGATCTCCAGCCTTCTGCTTTGAGAAAAATAGAGCCTGACCCATTTAGCTGGAGATAGAGGATGGAGTGGGAACAGACTTGGTGCAAAACCGGCAATTGTAACGTTTTCACAGCACAGCAGTCTATTTACCCCAAAAGCAAAGGTTTCTGGGCTCTCAGCCACTCCTGGATCTGGTACAGCTGAGCACTTACAGCAAGGCTTTAGAAATAGTTATTAATGATCACCAAATTCCCATTATGGAGTGAGTATTTCTATCCAGCAGGGGAAAGAAAGAAAATGAAGTGACTTGACCAACACCTTGGAGTGAGGAGGGTGTGCACTGGGGGTGTGAATGCTGCAGCCTACATCTCCCAGCTCTGTGCAAAGACCACTGGATTTCATTACCCCATTTACTCTTCAGCTCTTCTTCTTCATGGTCAAAGACTATGGCAACTGCTTGGCAGGAGAGTTAACTCTGCTGCACGAGGCCAGCTGTGAAGGAGCCTTGGTATCATCAGTGGTTCCCAGTCCTGCAAACTGTTGCATAGTTCTGAGGGATCTGGGGCTACAGATGTGTTTTCTGCCCTGTGTGCACAAGTCCTGGAGCTGTGCCTGGGCAATGTGGATGCAGACATGAAGGTGGAGGATTTCACCCATTTAATATATATAAACAAACCCCACTGATTTCCATTGCTGTGACATCTGCTTTTCTCAGGTCAGAAGTGTCATCTTCTGGCACTTTCTCTTCTCTCCGAGCTGGACGGCTAGCCATGTCTAGTGCTAGCAATGCATGGAAATGCTGTGCACAGGTGGGCTCAGGGCAAAGCCAGCAGTTGCCTACGGTGACACACTCTGACTGCCCCCTTCTTTGCTTGTATCACAGCTTTGGAAAGCGCAGGATGCTGCTGCTTTCTCTTAGTGAAGGAGCTGCACTATGTATCTATTGTAGGAGAGAGGTTCATTCCTGCCTTCCCCCTCATTCCTTCTCCCCTTCCCCTGCAGCAGAAGCAGCCAGCCCTGTTCTCCAAGGCATATCCACCCCAGCCCCACCCCTTCCACTACCAGAAGAGCTGGATTTAGCTTGAACCCCAGGTCCATGGGGCAGGAGCATGCAGTTTTGTTTATACTGCTGTGAAGCCCTGAGCTGCTCTGTTACAGTTCAGAGGGCTGTCACTGCAATCTTGACAAGCTGTGGCAGCATGGCGCTGAATTCAGGTGGCCCACCGACACATTTGCTCTCTTTCCCAAGCTTCTTTTTCATCCCAAACAAGCTCTGGATTGTTGCAGCTATACAGCCACCAGCAGCTGAGTTAAGTAGTTTAACTCTACTTGGGAGAGTCATATGTGAGCTGCAGTCTTAGCACCAGTGCAACCTAGATCAGGAGGAGGAAAGTAAGAGCTGATCCAAATGGAGGGGGCTCTTGAGGGTACGGTACGGCCGGGAATCCATGGGCTGCTCTGGGTAGTTGGCAATACTTCCTCCTTACTAGGTCCCTACGTAGTATAGGCATAGTCCAAGTAACCAGAGGTCATGTTAATAAAAGAGCTCAGCACCCAAGACCTCCCACTTACATCATCAGGTTTGTAAAAATATGTATATCAAATGGAAATGCTGAGACTGCTGCGTGCTGTTTCAGGTGTCTGGAAATCAGTCCACTTCTTTAAGGGTGTCTCTGGACAGCTGGGCTGCTGCTGTTGTTTTCTAAAAAATCAAGCCCATTGTGTCCAACTCACCTACCTGAAGTGAAGCAGAGCAGTGGGAAGAGGCACACCTCTCCCAAAACTTGTCCAGGCAACATGAGACAGGCACTTTTCTCATGACGTCATTGTCCTGGAAACTTTTGAAAGCACATTGTGAAGGAGGAAGCCTTGTGGGTCTAAACTCCCCATGAGTCTCTCCGAACGGGCCAAGCTTTGATGAAACCAGCTCATTATCAAAAGCGAGGAAAAACATGTTGGATGTTGTTTACCACTGAGATCACCCTGGTGGTTCTTCCAGCTGCCTGAGGATATTGGTGAAGACAGAAGGGAAGGAGAAACAAAAAGAGAGAAAATGTCTGCTTTAAAGTTTCCATCCTCAAGGTGACAAGTTTTCTTTCATTTATTTGTTCTTAAAAATCTCTTGAAAACATGTCTACCCAAGACCTCTGCAGCTTGGGTGCTGGGTTAGATCCAGAGTCTGCAGTTGCTTCTGGGGAATTTTGTTTACCTTCAAATCCTTTTTATGACTTTGGTTTCCTTGTTTCTCTTGGCGTTCGAGGGAATGACACTGACTATAAGAAAACTGATATAATGATTCCCATACAATTAGGGGGCAATTCCAAGTTTTAGCTTTTCTGACATTATGGTTCAGTCCCAGGAATCTGAACTCTACACTGTTAGCAGTTGCCATGTTATGTTATCAATTGAAATCTCTGGAGGATTTAAGAATCAGACTGTGACACGATACTACCACAGTAAAGCCTAGGAGGCCGTATACACCAGAAATTATGAGAAACAAAGTAAAGTCCTATTAAAAGTCTCCAGTCATCGTCTAGTTAACAGTCATTTGTTGTCTCTGAATTGATTAGAAAACAAGCACACGATGAGGCTGTTCCAATTATTATGTCAATGGCTATCTGAACCGCAAGGTGACTCAGAAAGGGCCAGGCCATGGCCCTGTACCCAAAGCAAATCCACTGACACTAGCGGATTTGCCAAGCAGAGGTCTGCAGACCTCAGATTCTGAATCCAAACCTTCTTTGGGGTGAGGGTTTTCAGATTGTGCCATACTCTGCTAAAGTCAGAGCTATTCGCAAGAGGGACCTGAAAGGCAAGCACTTGATGGATGGAAAATATGATGAATGCTCAAAATGTGATCCTTGAAAGATGGTGTATAACGACACATGCTTTCTTTGGGAGTGGTATCACAAAAGCCTGCTTAATGGGAAGGCAGTGAAGGCCTAGGGTTTACTTATGATTTTATTCTGGTTTCCCTCCCCTGGTCAGGATCAACTACAGACCAGCTTGGTTCCAGTTGTCCCTTGGCAGCCTGAAAAGATCAAGGACCAGACTTCCAGCACCCAGAATATGCAACAAGACTCAGGAGTGAAATTTTACAACCTTTGGGGACATAGGCTGGATGAATATGCTTGCTTCCATCAAGGAAGGTACTTGCCCAAGTGAACAGGTGACTGCCAATCCCAACCTCATTTGATGGGCTGACCATTTGGCCAGCTGGGGTTGTTGCAATGGGAGGCACCAAACTTTCACCCTTTTACTGCCTGCATAGGGATCTCACAATAGTTCTGACAAAAGGAATCTGGTGACAGAGGGGCCTTGCTGCTTTGGATGTTCATTTTACATATCCTCTATGACCAGGGAAGATCACTGACGACCCTTTAGTTTGAAAATAAGCCCAAGAAAAATTACAATGGCTTATTCATGTATCTATTTTTTGACAGATATGCTCCTTACACTTCAGGATACAACAATAATGCCACACAAATCTTGGCATTTAATCTTGATTGCTTTGGGTTGCAAAGTGGGAGGGAGACATTGTGGAGGAAGGAGGAAAGTAAGGAAGGGGAATGGAAGTGAGATGTAGACCAGTTTGCTCCTCTCCAGTCTTTGCTCCCTCTCTGAGGGAGGAACTCTAGCATGGCTAGGACTTAGTGGTGTGAAGTGTTTATCAGCACTTTGCTGATTTTGAGGAACAGTATTCTGGATGGTTGCTCTTCAGGTGAGAGCGATAGAGCACACAGGAAAACAAATGTGGTTATGCAGCCTAGGGTAATTCAGCTGTGACATAATTTGACCACATGAATCTTGCTGGAATGAGACTGTGCTGAGCAAAGCCTTTGCCTTTCACCAAGTCATCTAAGATGACTAGAATTTTCCTCCCTTATTTGGCTGGGAATTGAGTATTTAGCGCGATGAATGTGACTGGTCTGGTGGGGGTGTTTACATGTGCATATATGTGTATACAAACACACACACATCACCTCTTCAACTGTTGTCTGAGCTGTCACAGAGCTTTTTTTTGGAAAAGAAAGGGTCTGCTCCTGGGCATGTCATTTTCCCTGCTTTCTGTTCTCAGTCCCCCAATGGCAGTCACATCCACACGCTGGGGAAAGAGGATTCCCCATCCGTGGGCCTGTAAACACCTCATGCAATATAGAGCATGCAGTGCAACAGACATGCTAATGGGAGTGGAATGTGTATCAAGCCAGCTTCCCTCTCCTTTCCACCCTCGCAAACTGCAAAAGTTCTTCTCCAAAGCCTGTGAAGCCTTGATGTCATTCCACTGATAGTCTCTAATAACTTTTCCTTTCTTGCTCATGTTTGTAACTCAGTCCACTGAGAAATCCACCCTTGACCTGGCTGCAAAAAGCTGTGGGAATTTGCTTCCAAAGTGCTCTTTTACAATAAAATCTCCAGCAGAAGATTCAGCAGCGTCCTCAACAGCACTTGAAGAAATACTTTTCAGAGCAAGAAGATAGACTGATGACATTTATCACCTCCCATGCTCACCCTTAATAGTAATTTGTAGCTTTTTCTACTTCTCTGATCTGTATCGCACATTTGCTAGGCAGTGCTCAACCTTCAGCTAAAGCAGTGGTTCCTGCTAGCTGACATGGAATAATGTCATCTGACACATTATGGGCCCGGTGCTGCTGGTCCATGTCACCAGCTGCAAATGAAGAAATATTTTGGAAGTCAAGTAAGAAAAATCCTCGTCTAGGTAGATGACAGCAGTTCTGTCCATGACCATCTCATATAACTCAGTCTTACGAGGGTCTCCCTAACACTACCACCCAAGGCAGAGCAGCCAAAGTTAACAAGGGAGTACAAAAGCCAGCATGGGAGCTCAGTGCTACTGGCCACTGCTGCAATGTAAATATCCTTCTGGAAAAAAATGCTTCTTTCAACTTATTATTTTTTTTTTCATTCATCTTTATGATTTTTGCCCTATTTTAAAATCTTTGAAATCTTCATCTTGCAGAATTTGAGCAGACAGATAGTTAATTTTCTCATTCATTAGTTAAGCACTGGCCAAAAGTTCCCTGGTGGATCTGGAAGCCAAATTCCCAGCTACAGAGCAAATACAGCAGGATAAAATCCCCCCGTCTTAACACTGTGTCTCAGAGCTGTGCTCTCACCTCTGGACTCCATCCTCAGGACCGCTTCAAAGTTTATCGCTTGAGATTGATGGTTTTGATGACAGTATCCATGAAGCTGAGATCCAGTCTCCAGGTGCTAAGCCACACCTGCCATCAGAAAACAGTACCTTTTCCTTTTGAGCTTTTATACCTGGGTTTGGTGTCCTTTTTCTATTCTTAGCCTAACAGCCCTCTCACCCCAACACCAGGGAGGAATGGGAAGGCAATGTCCCTTTATAGGAAGGAGAAACTAGAAGGAAAGATCTTGGGGAATGTGTTCTTAAGAACAGGTTACATCTTAGAGATAGCATGTGAAGTATTGCCTCCACTGAAGTCAGAGGGAAGGTTCAGTGGAGCCAGGCTTTCACACAGATGAGCAAGAAATGTGGGTCTCCAGCTGGAGAGGTGTGCTGGTGATGAGTGAGAGAAGTATGGGATTTACTTGTGTTTATTCCCACAGCTGATGATCATGAGCATTATTTTATCATATTTGTGAGTAGCATTTGGGTAACAGGACCAGGAGCACATGCTTGCACATGCAGAGGCAGGAGCTGGCTCTGCAAAAACTAGTGCTGTAACTGGAAGTAGGATGGCCATATGTGTTCACAGGTGACAAAGCACAGTCAGTGCT